AATCTTGAGAAATAATTACATTGGGGAGCAGAGAAGAAGAGAGAAGTCAGTGAAAAACACAAGTGATTTGAAAGATAGGAGACCAAGAAGAGAATGTCATAAAAACCAAAGGGAAGCAGATGTAGTAATCAACAATATCCGAAAAGAGGATGAATGTCTGAGAAGGATCTCAATTGTGAGGAAGTTGCTGGACCCCTTAAGACTAATAGCTTCAATAGAACTGTGTGCGGGTAGGAAGAGAGCCAAGTCACAGTAAGTTAAGGGAAAAGGTGAAGAACTATAAAGGCAGCAAGTGGAGGCTGCTTTTCTAAGAACTGTGACAGTGAATGGAAAGAGAAAAAAGAACAAAAGTTTGAGGGCAAAGCAGGGCTCAGGGTAAGCTTATATGAGGAGTTACATGAACTTTTTTTATTCCCATAGAATAAAGGAGGTTGAACCACAGTAACAGGAGACATGTTGCCAGGTCGTGGGGGTGAAATGAAGGCAGAACAAGTGGAAGAGGACAATACAGAAGGTGCCTTGGGAAAGAGGAGAACAGGGAAAACCAGACAATTGTGTCGTATTGACCAAGGAAGTTAAGGGCACTCCAAATAACTTGATAAAGTAATGTGCTAAGAATTAAATGGAGTGATACTCAGCAAAGTAAGATTTAAACACTGCTATTTGGAAGAGGATACTCAATTGAAAATAAAGAAAATATTCCATCTGAGGTAATTCCATCTGGATGGTAATTGCAAAACAATTACAAGCAGCATTAAATGTTAAAATTTTCAAGTAGTAATATTAAAAAGCTACAAACTCCCCAAGCAACTGATAATTGTATGTAAAAATGTACAACACAAATCTTATAGTATCTAAAAGATTTTCAAAATCCAGCAATAATTTACTTTTTTTTTAAACTTAAAAAAAAAAAATGATTTTAAAAAGAGGAAGAGAAGGAGGAAAAGAAAGAGAAACATTGATGTGAGAGAAACAGGCTGGTTACCTCCTGCATGTTCCCCCAACCCCAGATCAAACCAGCATCTCGCCATGTGCCCTGACGGGGAAACGAACCTGCCACCCTTTTGGTGTATGGGATGACGCCCCAACCAACCGAGCCACACTGGCCAGGGCAACAGCCCCCTTTCTTTAAATAAAGAATACAAGTGTTATTGCAATCAAAATCCAGTATTTAAAATAAGTAGGTGATTTTTATTGTAAGTTCCATATTAAAGTTTTGAATCAGTCATAACATATTTAACTATCCTTCTGAACTCTGCCATCCACAAATTCAATCAACTTAATCCAAATTACTGGTAAACGGAAAAAGGACCTTTTCTTCAAGTAGGACACCAAAGGTCTCCCTTCAGGGTGGATGGTAGCTTATTGGTCACCAGTCTGCAGGTACAGTTATTTAACTGATAATGAATAAAATTCTAACTATATTCTTATCTAGCTCACAGATCTCCATTTTGACCACAGGACATGACAATTCTGTCAAATATGCTCCAGTGCAGCTCTGGCTGGATGACTCAGTTGGTTGGAGCGTCATCCCACACACCAGAAGGTGTCCGATTGGATTTCCGGCCAGGCACATACCCAGGTTTCGTGAATGGCAGGAAACCAATCGATGTTTCTCCCTCTCTTTCCCCCTTCCTCTAAAATCAATAAAATCTCTCTCTCTACCTATCTGTCTCTCTGTCTCTGTTTCTGTCTCTCTCTGGTGAAATCTAATTGCACAATGTCTAAAGCATTTTTCTAACGAATCAGTCTACAAAACTTTTTCAGAAAAAGGAAATGAGGCGAATCTGGCCACACCCTAGCCAGCCCTATCTTTATTCAAGGCACCACCAGCCTTGAATTTAAGTAATCCTGTCAGGGGTCCTCAAACTTTTTAAAGGCCAGATCACGGTCCCTCAGAGAGCTGGAGGGCCGGACTATATGAACTACTAATTCCTACTGTAACACCTCGGCTGCGCTCACTGCCCAAAAAACCTGGCGGGCCGGATCAGACTCCTCTGAGGGCCGCATGTGGCCCGAGGGCCGTAGTTTGAAGACGCCTGCGTGTAAGTTACGTTATGGCCCTAACTGGTTTGGCTCAGTGGATAAGCCTGTGGACTCAAGGGTCCCAGGTCCTCGATTCCGGTCAAGGGCATGCACCTTGGTTGCGGGCACATCCCCAGTAGGAGGTGTGCAGGAGGCAGCTGATCGATGTTTCTCTCTCATCGATGTTTCTAACTCTCTATCCCTCTCCCTTCCTCTCTGTAAAACATCAATAAAATACATTTAAAAAAAAAGATTTTGAAAAAATCCCTTTAAATATGTAAACTTTTGGTGGATATAGATAAAAGAATTAAATGTCTTTTCATAATGTCCTTTATATTATGTTAGTGGAACATATTTAAAATCACACTCTACACAAAATATTTAGAAATTATTTTCCCCTCCATTCAACATTTCATAAAACCATTTTATTGAAAATATCCCAGTGGATGTTTGGCATCTGTGTCCATGTTCACTAGAGTGAGTCGTTAGCGGTTTTTCAAAGCACCGTTTCTTTCTTTTCATTTATAAAAATTGTTTGAGTTACAGAACTTTTGAATCCCTGTTATCTCTCTCTTTTTAAAAAAATATATTTTATTGATTTTTTACAGAGAAGAAGGGTGAGAGACAGAGAGCTAGAAACATCGATGAGAGAGAAACATCGACCAGCTGCCTCTTGCACACCCCCTTCCGGGGATGTGGCCTCAACCAATGTACATGCCCTTGACCGGAATTGAACGTGGGACCTTTCAGTCCGCAGACCGACGCTCTACCGCTGAGCCAAGCCGGTTTTGGCAAACCCTTGTTATTGTTTTAACCTAAATATGGAGCACCCACTTTCTGTACCTTCAACAGTTTCTTCACTCTACAGGTGTGTGCTGTAGATGTAGATTCTTAATCTCTACAAGTACTTACTCCTGTTGACTGACTTAACCAGCTTCAGATTTCTATCTCCTCCAGCCAATCCTTTGCAAGGCTTTGAATGGGGGCAAATAAAGCTCTTTTTATTTATATATATATATATCTCTTTTCTGAGAGAGAAAATTTCTTTTTGAAAAGACCTAGTTGTATGTGCAAGTAATCAAGTCAGGAATTCACAAAGAATCAGGAACCCAATAATTTCTTGAACACATTTCAATCAGTGACACTTAACATTGCATGTGGGTGGGTGCACTAAGAGCAATCTTTACAAGTCAAGCAAGTTTTCTTTCTGAACTAATATATTAGAACTCTGCTATAATGTCATCAAAGAAGAGTTGAATAAGAGCTGTTACTCAATCCTCATGAATTATCTTTCTTAGAGAAACAGCCAAGGGTAGTAATTGTAGTAATTTATGTGTATTGTATACTAATTGCTGGTCACTGTCATTAAACTCAACCTTCACCGCTATTGAACAGGTGCTGTTCACAATCCCATTCTACTGATGAATAACCAGGCAGAGAGGGTAAGAAATGTGCCTAAAGCAGTGGTAGGGCACGCAAGCTACATGCGGCTGGCTCTTTGGACCCTTGAATGTGGCTCTTCCACAAAATACCACGGCCTGGGCGAGTCTATGTTGAAGAAGTGACGTTAGAACAAAAGTTTAAGTTTAAAAAACTTGGCTCTCCAAAGAAATGTCAATCGTTGTGCTGTTGATATTTGGCTCTGTGGACTAATGAGTTTGCCGACCACTGGCCCCAAGTCAAACATCTTCAGAGCAGCCAACACTGTCTCGCTCCAGCCCCCCTCCTCCCTTTAAAAGAGCACCGATGGCCTCTTAGGTCAGTAAATACAGGTCCCCCTGTAAAGGCAGTCCCATCTACCAGACAGCTAGTGAGAATTAATAATGCGAATAATGAATAATGAGAATTAATAATTATTAATAAGGATTAAGACTTATTAATGAGAATTCATAACGAGAATTAATGTGAAAGGTTTCAGTAACACTTTATTTCCTATTCAACTATTTCCTATCTCCATCGACACTGTGGGATGATGATGATGAGAGTGGGGAGTCCATCCCTTGTGTTCACGCTCCCTGAGCTCAGCGCACCCCCATTTCGGCGGAGACCCTCCGGGCACCCCGCTCCTGCAGGAAGCACAGGCAGACCCTGCCCTGTCTTCCTCCTCCTCCTCCTCCTCCTCCCAACGTGTCCACGGGTGACACACAGAGAACTGCCCCTCTGGGCCTAGCTCTCCTCTGCTCCCCCAAACACAGGAGGGAACTAACTTTCAGGTAACGCTCCCAGGCCAAGCCCGGGAACGGGGCGGCATCTCCCCAGGACGCACCTGGGGGCGCCGGTTCCGAGGGGAAAGGGGGCCCCGGCGCGGACGGACTGGGGGGACCGCGGGGAGGACGGTGTGCGGCAGGGGGTCGGCGCAGACGGTGAGGGCAGCGGCGGGGACCCGTGCTGGCCAGCGTGTCCTCGGCTTTCCCTTTGATGCACCCCACACCCTAGGATCGGAAGAAGCCGAGGATCCCCCCTTCCCCCCCAAGAGTAGCAACTGCCTGGCCGGGCCGGCCGGGGCACATGCACCTCCTTTCACCTCCCGCCCGAGGCGGCAGCCGGTCCCCCGCCGCCAGCATCCCCCTGCCCGTCAGCCCGCGGCCCGGCCGGCCCTCCTCTCACCGGTCACCGCGCCGGAGGGACCGCCGGAGCCTCCCGACCCCAAGGCCCCGGCCGCAGCCTGCCTCCCCGGCTTCCCTGCCGTTGGACACCGCCCACATTCCCCCTCCACTGTCCCCCTCCCTCCGAACCCGAACCGAGCGTCTCCCGGAGCGCTGAGCCCAGAGGTCACGGACGGGAAGCCCAGCCCGGCGGAGGGGCTTACCTTTAACAGATTAGACGTCGCCATGTTCCTTCAACTTGGAGTCTCGCGAGACGGCGCGCGCGACTTGGCGGCGCTCGGGCCCAGGCCCCAGGCGGAGGCCGCAGCGCCCACGGGGCGGACGACGGTCCCGGCGGCCCGCAACGGGCGTGGCGGGAGCGGGCGGCCGGCCGGCCTGCGCGGACCTCGTCCCGAGTCCCCGGAGCTTCCTCACGCCCTCCGGCCCTACATGGTCACCGCGGCTTCCCCGCGCGAAAGAGCTCATGCAAACGCTCAGGGAGGCCGCCGCGGCGAACGGTGAGAAGGTAACGGGAGCCGCCGACCCGAAAGGGAAGAGGAAGAAGCATCGACTCCTCGAGCGAGCTTCCCCCCCTCCACCCCCCACTCCTTCGGATGAGCTTTGGCGGCTGCACCCGCGGCGCGGCCACCGGCTACGAATTGAGCTGGGCTTAGGCCCGGCGGCTCAGGTTTCCTCGGCCGCGTCACGTGACGCGGCGGGCGGGCGGGGGCGCGCTCGGGAGCGAGCGTGGGAGCCTGGAACCCGGAGGCGGCACCGGGGCAGGAGCGCGCCCTCTGCTGGTGGGACCACGCACCTTTCCTCATCCCACTCCCCAAATTCCCAGGTAACTTATCCTAGTAAATGAAATGCCTTTTTTTCCTTTTCTTTTCTTTTTCTTTTTTTTTTTTTTTTTTTTTTTTTTTTTACAAACAGCTGTTTTCAATAGGAACGGGGCAATAAGTATTTGTTGAAATGAATGGATGAGTGAATGCATGCACCAGTGTATTATCTATTCTATTCAAGAATAAGGTGCTTGGCACTGAAGTCTATAAAAGATTGATCAAGCAATGAATAGTAATCTTAGATTTCCTGAAAGCACATTATTTTAGGAGCTTCTGAACCGTGAGCCCCCAAGCCTTATCCCTTCAGATCATAAGCCCCTGGCCAAGGGAAGAGAACGTAATGTATATGTAGAACGTACATAATACATTACGATATTGTATTATGCATGCTTACAAACAGGATTTAACAATGTTAGAAATAAATAAACCAGGGGAAGGGGGCGAAGTTTGGAATTTTAAATAGAGTGAGCCAGGTAGGGCTCACTGAGCAGATGGCATTTGAGCAAAGACTCACAGGAAGGAAGAAGGCCGAGCTGATGTGGGAGGGAGAAGAGCAGTCCAGCCGGGACTCACAGGTGGCAGGTCCAAGGAACAGTGAGAAGGCTGATGTGTTCAGAGCTGAAAAAGTAAGGAGAGCATAAGATTGTATAGGACTTTGTTGGCTGTAAAGACTTTTTGTTGTTGTTAATCCTCACCTGAGGATATTTTTCCACTGATTTTTAATTTTTGTAAGAGAGAGTGGAAGGGAGGGTGGAAGACAAAGAAACATTGATTGGCTGCCTCTAGCATGCGCCTTCCGACAGGGCCAGAGAGTGAGCCTGCAACCCACGTATGTGCCCTTGATCAGAATTGAACCCAGCATCCTTCATTCTAAGAACTGATGCTCTATCCACTGAGCCAAACCAGCTAGGGCTAAAGACTGGCTTTTATTCTGAGTAAGGTGGGGCATCATTGCACCCCAGCTGCTCTGGGCAGCATGGGAAGGCGGAAAGGTGGCTCCCGCCAGAGCAAAGGCAATGCCGGCAGCCAGGGGAAGGAAGGCTCATTCTTGCAGGAATCTTCGTGCATCGGGCCTCTAGTGTGCATATAAGATCTTTGGTTAATTTATTCCCATTTCCCATCCCCCCTACCCCCAGAGATTCATCAGTCTGTTCCGTGTTTCCATGACTCTGATTCTATTTTAGTCATCAATTAATTTTGTTCGTTAGATTTCTTGTTTGTTTTGATTTTTAGATTTAATTATTGATATGTATTTATTGCCATTTTATTGTTCATATTTTTTATCTCTTCTTCTCCTTTTCCTTAACTTTCTTCTTCTCCTTTATCCTCGTCCTCTTCCTAAAGAATACCCTTTAACATTTCATGTAAACTGGTTTGGTGGTGATGAACTCCTTCAGCTTTTTCTTGTCTGTGAAGATCTTTATCTGACCTTCAATTCTAAATGATAGCTTTGCTGGATAGAGTAATCTTGGTTGTAGGTCCTTGCTATTCATCACTTTGAATATTTCTTGCCACCCCCTTCTGGCCTGCAAAGTTTCTGTTGAGAATCAGCTAACAGTCATATGGGCATTCCCTTGTAGATAACTACTTTTCTCTTGCTGCTTTTAAGATTCTCTCTTTGTCTTTAACCTTTGGTATTTTATTTATTTACTAGAGGCCCAGAGCATGAAATTCGTGCATGGGTAGGGTCCCTAAGCCTGCGATCAGGGCCGATTGGGGTCTTCCTTCCCCTGGTTGCCATCATTCCGCGCTGCTCCTGGTGGTCAGCACATGTCATAGTGAGCAGTCAAACTCCTGAGGCGACAATTTGCATGTTAGCCTTTTATTATTTATTTGTTTGTTTATTTGTTTATTATTTCTGTTGTTAATCCTCACCTGAGGATATTTTCCATTGAGTTTTAGAGATAGTGGAAGGGAGGGGGAGAGGCCGAGAGAAAGAAACATTGATGTGAGTGAGAGCATTGATTGGTTACCTCCTGCACATGCCCCAGCCAGAGCCCCAGCCTGGGAGGATCCCACAAACAAGGTACATGACTTTGACTGGAATCGAACCTGGAATGCTTTGGTCTGCAGGCTGACACTCTATCCACTGAGCCAAACCAGCTAGGGATGTGTCTTGGTGTGGGCTTCTTTGGGTTCCTCTTGCTTAGGATTTTCTGTGTTTCCTGGACTTGTAAGTCTATTTCTTTAAGAGAAGTTTTCTGTCATTTTTTCAAAGAGGTTTTCAATATCTTGCTTTCTCTCTTCTTCTGGCATCTCCATAATGCAAATGTTGGTATGCTTGAGGTTGTTCCAGAGGTTCCTTACACTAACTTGATATTTTTTGCTATTTTGATTGGGCATGTTTTGCTTCCTTATATTCCAGATCATTGATTTTATTCTTTGAATTCTCTACTTTACTATTGAATCCCTGGTTTTCTTTTCATGTCTTTGACATTCTCATTAAGATCCTTGAAAGTCTCGCTAAGTCCCTTGAAGCTCTCATTAAATCCCTCGAAGTTCTCATTTAAGTCCCTGAAGCTCTCATAACAATCCTTAAAACCATGGTCTTAAACTCTGTATCCAACAGTTTGCTTGTTCCCATTTCTTTCATTTGTGACATGTATGTTTCTTTGTCTCCTCATTTTGGCTGTTTCCCTATGTTTGTTTCTATGTATTAGGTAGAGCTGTTATGTGTCCTATAATTGGTAGAGTGGCCTTGTGTATTAGGTGTCCTGTAGGGCCCAGTGGCTCCACCTCCCCAGTCACCTGAGCTGGGCTCTGTAGGTGTGCGCCTGTGTGAGCTGTGTGCATAGTTTTGTAGATGAGCTTTGATTGCTATTGGAGTCACTGGGAGGAATTGACTTCCTGGCCAATTAATTATGAGGACCAGCTGTGACTACCATAGAAGAGCAGTTGTGCAAGAGACACCCCTATGAAGTAGGACTTGCTTAAGTGGGGCTTTGGTGCTCACTGAATCTGCCCCTTAAGTGTGTCACTTGTGGATGTGTAGAGTAATCCCTTAGGGTCTGAAGCTGCCCACCAGGTGATCTGGCTCTGGAGGCACCCAGGAGGTGCAAAGTCAGCCACTACCTGGGGCCACCCAGCAGGAGCTACAGAGAGATCTGCAGAAAGCTGCTACTTGTCTATTAGACACTGCCCACATTTCCTAGGAAGTAACCTTTGGCCCAGCTGTGAAGCAACGTAGGCTGGTGCTAGTGCCTGGGTCTTGGGCTTTTTATTGGTAGGTTTGGGCACACTGATGCCAGCTGCTGCTTGTTTGAGAGATTTTAGTAAAGTCTGAAGCCTGAGCCAAAATAGGCCATTCATATGGAAAAGCCACTGCAAACAGCTTGGGTGGGGCTGCAAATTGGATGGGGCAGGGTCTCAGAATCACCAGGATGGAGCAAACAGTGTAGCCCACACTGATGGAAACTCGGATATGGCTTCTAGTCATCTCTGTGATGGGGAAAGTGTCAGTACAGGAACAATGACCCCTGCAAACACCCCTCTCTGGGAGAAAGCCAACCCCCTGCTCCTGTCCTGATGCTAGGCAGTTCAGTTCCTCCCCATGTTTCCCAAATTCATCCAAAGCTGCTGCCAGTGCTGTAGCTCAGAGGAAGCAGGACTGTGTAAATTTGTGCATGGGCCTTTTAAGAGGAACACCTGGGATGACAGAAGCCTCCATGTCACTCAGTCACAATCCCTGCTGGTTTTTACAGCCCAAAGTTATGGGGCATTCTCTTCCCAGCTCTGGAATCCTGGGCTGGGAGTCTGGTGTAGGTCTGGAATGCCCTGCTTCTCATGGAAGGCCTTAGAGATTATAAAAATGCCACACGTGGGTGCAGTCTGTTCTGCACCTCTGCCCTTCCTAATAGTCTCAATATACTTTCTTCTTCTCTAGTTGTAGGGCTTCCATTCAGCCAGCTTTCTGGTGGTTCTGACTGATGGTTGTTTTGTATTTCAGTTGTAATTTTGGGAGGCAGCAAGTACCAGCGTTTAACATTGCCATCTTGTTTTTCCCCCATTTCTCTGTATGTTTGAAATTTTTCATAATTAAATGTTGGGGGAAACTTTTAAAAAAATTATGTTTATTGGGGTAACATTGGTCAATATAAATAAATGATGTGTATTTATTTATGTACCAGAGGCCCAGTGCACAACATTTAGGCACTCAAGCAGGGGGGCTGGTCCCGCAGCCGGCCTGCATCCTCTGACAGTCCAGGAGCTCTTTGGGGGGATGCCTCCGGGGAGCGGGCCTAAGCCGAGAGTTGAAATCCTTAGCACCGCCGGAGAGGTGGGAGAGGCTCCTGCCACCACCACTGCACCCACTAGCCATGAACCCTGGTTTTGGTTGTGCAGTGCTCCCCCTGTGGGAGCGCACTGACCACTGGGGGGCAGCTCCTGTGTTGAGTGTCTGCCCCCTGGTAGTCAGCGTACATCATAGCAACTGGTCGGTCTGCTGTTCAATCGATTTGCATATTATTCTTTTATTATATTAAACCACCAAGGGTTTACAAGATTTTTTATTGGAAGCTGGAGGACAGAAGCATCCTCAAGAGATGGAGGAGGGCTTTTGACACCTCCCAGATCTATCACATGATAAAAAGTAGTCTGCCTCCAAAGACTACACTGCTTCCTGGCACCAGGAGGACCCATGGGAGCCGGCCTAAGCCTAACCCTAACAAGTCTAACCATATCCCTATATCAGTTTCTATCCTGCTTCTAGGAAGATCCTTCTTTGCCAGGGAATGCCAGAGATTACCTGTGCTGAGGTGTGTTTTAGTTGTCTTTGTGGAGAGATGGTATTCCAAAGGCATCTGCCTTCATGTGCCAGGAAGATGGTCACCGGTACCTTAAGTTTATGTCATCCCACAAACTCTATTTAAAAACAAACAAACTAGGATTTTTTTTTTTTAATTAATTTTAGAAAGGAAGGGAGATGGAGAGAGAGAGAAACATCAATGATGAGAGAGAGAAACATCAATGATGAGAGAATCATCAACTGACTGCCTCTTGCACTCCTCTCCCATGGTCCAAAATACTTGTAAGCTTTGCTCCTACCTCTAGAGAGTGGGGCCCTGGACAAGATGGGTGGCTAGGGAAGGTAAGGAAGTGAAGGCCCCACTAGCAACTGTGTGAAACCAAAGAAAACCATCTTAAGATCTCCATGGGAACAGGTCAGGAGTGAAACTCCCACAGTCCAATTTATACATATTACATAATTTGCCAGTGTCTTCAAGAACAGCTGTTGTGAAGTTTAAGAAGAAACGAGAAAAGGAAATAGAAAAATTATTGTCTCCAATGGAGGGAGAGTGAAGGGATAGAGGAGATTCTTTGATTCCAGGGCAGCCCCAAATACCCAATTGAGAGCAGTACAAACAGGGCTTAAAATAATTACATGGTGGTAGTAACGTTATCCTGAGAACGTGTCTTGAAAGGGAGACCAAGTGTCTTTTATTTTCTCTTCTCTCTGAATAGAACTTGCCCACTTAGTCGTAGATAGCTTGCCTGGAGAACCACAGACCTCCTTTAACTCCTGTAACTTAGAAGGGACTATAGCCTGGAATCTATCCACTAGACATATACAATAATCAGCTCCGACTAGCAGGGATGTACTGTTACATTTATCTTTTATCTGATTTTCCCAAAATTAAACTGTATATTCAATAGAATTCTGATAAAATACTTGATATTTCTTTTAACAGAGACTTGACAAGCCAATTAAAAATACACTTGGGAGACAAAATGTGGAAGAACAGCAAACAGTATATTTTTTAATAAAGCAATGGAAGAGCCCAGCAAGGAACGTCAGACGGCGGAGTAGCAGCGGAAGCTTTCAGTACTGAGTCTCCAGGCTGACTTTGGTTCAGGGCTCGCAGCAGCAGGGATCGCTGAGCAAAGAGTGCCTCGGGTAGTTGGCCAAGATGCCGAATATCAAAATCTTCAGCGGCATCTCCCACCAGGACTTGTCCCAGAAAATTGCTGACCGCCTGGGCCTGGAGCTAGGCAAGGTGGTGACTAAGAAATTCAGCAACCAGGAGACCTGTGTTGAAATTGGCGAAAGTGTCCGCGGAGAGGATGTCTACATCGTTCAGAGTGGCTGCGGTAAAATTAATGACAATCTAATGGAGCTTCTGATCATGATTAATGCCTGTAAGATTGCCTCCGCCAGACGGGTCACCGCAGTCATCCCGTGCTTCCCGTACGCCCGGCAGGATAAGAAGGATAAGAGTCGGGCTCCGATCTCAGCCAAGCTGGTTGCAAATATGCTCTCCGTAGCAGGTGCAGATCATATTATCACCATGGACCTTCATGCTTCTCAAATCCAGGGCTTTTTCGACATCCCTGTGGACAATTTGTATGCAGAACCAGCTGTCCTGAAGTGGATAAGGGAGAATATACCTGAGTGGAGGAATTGCACTATCGTCTCACCTGATGCGGGGGGAGCCAAGAGAGTTACGTCCATCGCAGACCAGTTGAATGTTGACTTTGCCTTGATTCATAAAGAACGGAAGAAGGCCAATGAAGTGGACCGCATGGTGCTGGTAGGAGACGTGAAGGACCGGGTGGCCATTCTGGTGGATGACATGGCTGACACTTGTGGCACGATCTGCCATGCAGCCGACAAACTTCTTTCAGCTGGAGCCACCAGAGTTTACGCTATCCTGACTCACGGGATCTTTTCTGGCCCCGCCATTTCTCGCATTAACAATGCATGCTTTGAAGCAGTAGTGGTCACCAATACCATCCCTCAGGAGGATAAGATGAAGCATTGCTCCAAAATACAGGTGATCGACATTGCCATGATTCTTGCAGACGCCATCAGGAGAACTCACAATGGGGAATCTGTTTCCTACCTGTTCAGCCATGTCCCTTTATAATAGAATAACTTCTGAGGCTTTTAAAAAATAAAGTGAACCCTTTCCCTTGTTAAAACAAATAAATAAATAAAGCAATGGAGGACTTGCCCAAGTATGTTTCAACTCCTATTACATTTATTTATTTATTTATATTTTAAAATTATATTTTATTAATTTTTTAACTATATTTTTTATTGATTTCAAAGAGGGGAGAGAGAGAGAAACACGAGTGATGAGAGAGAATAACTGATTGGCTGCCTTCTACATGCTCTACTCTGGTGATCGAGCCCACAACCTGAGCATGTGCCCTGACTGGGAATTGAACCCTGACCTTCTGGTCATAGGTCAATGCTCAAAAACTGAGCCACACTGGCTGGGCTACATTTATTTCTTAATGCTGGTTTTTTGTTTTTTTAAAAAACTTTTTATTATAGAAAATTTCACAAAAGTAGAAAAAAATATATCTACTGTATTTGATTTCTATTGCTGTAACAAATTACTATAAATTTAGTTGCTTAAGACAATGCAACCTCTCAATGCCACCCCATTTTGGCATGAAAGACACATGAGCAAGTGGTCATCATAGCAGGAATGGAGACTGCTTAGACCCAGCAGCATGGGCTCCCACTTATTAAGGCTGAATGTTCACCTTTGAAAGTCAAATCTAGCATAACGCACAGAAAGATAAATATCACATGATCTTACTTATTTATGGAATATAATAAACAACATAAACTGATGAACAAAAACAGATCAAGAGACAGAGAAACATCAATCAGAACATCAAACCTCAGGGAAGGAAGGGGACAGTGGTGGTAAGGGAGAGATCAACCAAAGGACTTATATGCATGCTTATAAGTCTAACCAATGGTCACAGACAACAGGGAGGTAAGGGTATGAATGGGGGTGGGGGAGTTGGGGGGATAATGGAATAAGAACAGATATGTAATACCTTAATAAAGAAATTTTTAAAAAGAAAGTCAAATCTACCTTCAGAAGAGACCAACACGTGAGTCATTAATAAAATATCATCCCTTGAGGATAATTGGCTCCTTGGTGGCAAGTTGACTAGATTGAAAAGGTCAATGTTATTTCGGGCAGGAATAGACACATATACTGGTATGGGTTTGCCTTTCTTGCAGTTACTCAGCACAACATGCCATACATTATCACATCAGACTAAGGTCCCACTTACCTGAAAAGTGGGCCCATGACGATTGCATCACATATAGCACCACCCAGCAGCTGCTGACCTGACAGAGCATTGGGATGGCCTGTTCAAGGCAGAGCTGAGGGAGCATTTGAGATCTTGCTTCCCAGTATATGTCATCAATTTGGTTCAAATAAATTCTTTAAAAAAATAAAAATTTTCACCATAAAAATTTACACAATTTTCTACAGGCTTGGACATTTCTTATGTGGACAACCTCTAGGCCTTTTCACTGCCATCTCCTCTGCTGGGAACTCTTCCATGTCTGCCTCATTTCTTTCGTTGGTCCAATTATTCCTTCTTTCTGGTTGAAGAAGACTCCTCTGACTATGAGACCTGCCTAAAGTGCTCTTTTGTCCATTGCTGCACTGTGGCCTGATGTTTCAAACTGTGTTACAGTGGAATGGCTTTTCTACTCTTAGATAATTTCCTTTAGAGTGAACCTGCTTTCTTTTCATTGCTGACAATTCTAATCCTAACAGTGCCTGAAACAGCATAAATATTTCAGGAAAAAGTTATCATCTATAGTTAACTTATTGAAATGCACTAATAATTGTACAATATTAATTGAATCAATGAATTTTTTGTTTCCATGACAAATGCTCCACATATATAAAACTGTACTACAGATTTTTATGTGTGTAATATTTCCTAAAAATGAAATTACATAAGCAAATTTAGGTTTCAAATATTTTGAGGAATATTTCTTACACAGTCTGCTTATATGTCAACTGTATTCTTGTGTGTGTGTTTGTTTGTCTTACTTGTTAAACCAAAGTTAGTGAAGCAAATCGAATAACAAGCTTATTTAATTTGCATAGCTATGACTTAAAAGTATAAACTAATAATTTTAGTTAAGCAACCAATAAATATAGAAGTAACTTCAAAAAATAAAGGCAGAGCTGGAATGTACAATGAGCTAGTATTGATCACCTACTGGGATACTTTTATTAAAATTATGGTACTTAAAAACATATTAATTGAAGAAAGCTGGTCATAAATGACAGCATATTATATAATTCATATATATGATTCCATTTATATGAAATACCCAGTATAGGCAAATACAGAGACACAACATAGATTAGTTGTTGTTTAGAACCAGGTGGTGTGGGGGTCTGGAGGGATGTTGGGAGTAATAGCTAAAGATTTTGCAGATTTCTTTTTGAGGTGACAAAAATGTTTTAAAACTAATTCTGGTGATGGTCGCACAACTCTGAGTTTATGAAAAATCAGTTAATTGTACATTTTAAATGATGAATTATGTAGTAATTATATGTCAATAAAGCTATTATCAAAAATCTTTTAAAAAACAATGGTACTAATAACCACTTCATATATAACAGGCTAAGAAGCCCAAAACTTTTCTTTAATCCTCACCCGAGGATATTTTCCAATTGAGTTTAAGAGACAGTGGAAGGGATAGAGAGACAGAGACAGAGAAAAACATTGATGTGAGAGAGACACAACGATTGGTTGCCTCCTGCACACACCCTGACCAGAGCCGAGGAACCTACAACTGAGGTACATGCCCTTGATCAGAATCAAACTTGGTACCCTTCAGTCTGCGGGCCGACACGCTCACCACTGAGCCAACCTGTGCCCGTGCATTTACTGTTCCTGGTGATAACTGCTGCTGAGACGTGACAGCCCACCTTCATTGAGCACCCATCCATCTGGTTAGATGCTGTAGGTGATTGCCAGCTATTCCCAAGAGCTATATCACTTTCCGTTTGTCATATTAAGGCATTCTTCCTTGACTCTAAGAATGAGACCATTTCAAAGAGTCATGACCATTTCTAATAGTTAGTATCAAAATTAGCTTTTGGCACACTATGGGGTTTAAAACTGGCTTCTTGGCAACTTGATGGTTGTAAGAGTAATACCGGTACTAAAAATAAAACAAAAATAAAAGGTGACATTTATAAGTGCTTACTATGTACTAAACACTGTTGTAAATACAGAATGGGGCAAATGCAGATTGACAGTTGTGAGTGTGTGAAACAGTTTCTTCTTATTTTATTATCTATTAATTATATTTTTTTCATACAAACAACTGTAAGCCTACATTTTTCCCACCCTGTATTTTACATGAGTAACTGGTTATATGTGCAAAAGTTATGAATATTTCTTGTGTGTGACTTAATAGTTCACTTCAAAATTTAATAAGCTTCTGTGTGCAAGGCTGAAGCATGACAAAAATGAACTAGAAAAATTCACAAATTCTGAATTACCTGTTAAAGCATAGTACATGACCATGATTTCTTTTCAAGAATCCTGAAATCCAAAAACTCTAAAAACCTAATTCTTTTGATAATCATTTGGCAACAAAAATATCTGACCTTAACTCATTAGATTTTGTGTTTGTTTTTATACATACATTTTGCTGTGCATATACTAATATTTGGTTATGGGATTCTAACCCATGGTCCACTAAAGTATTATGTGATATATAAGAAATTCTATGTTTAATTTATTCTTATTTGCACTTAATTTGTGAATACACACACATACATTTAATTGCAGTTAAATAGTTGCTTATTTTAAAAACACCACTAAAGATGGTTCACTAAAAATTGATAATGTAACAATCATCGTTCTCATTCTTTTATTCATTATTTAAAATAAAATAACACTAATAACATACTTCAAAAAGTTTATACCATATCTTCCATTCTAAAAACAAAGACAAGATATGGTTATACCAAAACATGTTTGTTTCATGGAGTAGAATGGCATTGTAAATTAAAACTACACATTTGGAACCAAAATTTAATAGGGTTAATTTAATATAATAATCACCATTTAGAAGTTACTGAATGTCACAATGTTTTAGGCACTAATTAAAAAAAAAAAGGCAAAAAAAATTTACCCAAAAAGGTAACAATAAGGAACATTTTAAAAATATTTTTTGTTGTTGTTAATCCTCACCCTAGGATATTTTTCCATTGACTGTTAGAGAGTGGAAGGGTGGGGGAGAGACAGAAACATTGATGTTAGAGAGAAACTATTCAACACATTCATTGGTTGCCTCCCACACTTGTCCTGGAGCCTAGCAACCAAAGAGCTTGTCCTTGACTGGGAACTGAACTTGGGACCCTTCAGTCCTCAGGATGGCTCTTGATCCACTGAGCCAAATGGCTAGGGCTAATTTTTAAAATCTTAATTTTTTTTTTTCATTTATTCCCCACCATAATTACATGTAGTTAGTGAACAAGATAGTGTAGTGATTGATGGAGATTATCACAGCCCATCACTAATGTGTCTATTTTCCATTGGTTATAAGATTATAGAAATACATTTGGATTTAGAAAGATTCTGAAGCAGAGAGAGCTATTTATCAGCTATAGAGTTTCCAAGTTAGCTTCTAGTTGGGAATGTATTCTATATTAAAATATAAAGGATCTAAGTTTAAAGTCTTTACAGTCTTTTTTGTTCCTTCTTAAAGATTACATGTTATCTTTACATATCCAACTAAATCTCTCCAGGCAGTTACTTGGGACAAATGAGTTAGCTTATGAAATGGACCTTTAATTTTTCAAATCCTTCTCACTATGTCAACCTAAGGAATTTATTCAAATACCTGTGTAGTGCACTTTTTGAAGTCAATGGAAGCTTTGTAATTAATTGAACAAGGGCAATATAAAATCTGACAAAAGCACTCTTAAAATGATTTTATTAATCCACAGATTCAGTTTTTTGATGTTATAAAGTTGAATAACTAGATTGGTAAAGTTATTTTAATAATAAAGATGGCTTTGGTTGCCACATACAAAAATCATGGAGTAAACTCTCAAGATTCCAGGCTCAAGAAATCTTGTTTGCTACTATTACGTATATAAAGGCCACATTTAAAAACACTATGATTACATAATCATTTTGGCTTCAGCTTCTCATTTAATGAATCATTACATCACCACTTGCACTAAAAGTGTTAATTCAACTCAAGAAGAGCAATTTCTGTCAGGGACAAGTGTATCATATGATTGAATAGTTATTCATTTTTTTTTTATAAGTTTTTATTGTTCATATTATTACAAATGTTCCTTTCCCCCCCCCCCCACCATTGCTCTCCTCCACCAGGTTCCAACCCCTCTCCCCATTGTCCTCATCCATAGGTGCACAGTTTATGTTCAGTCTCTTCCCACGCCCCCCTCTCCCCTTTTACCCAAGAATCATCAGTTCACTCCCCTTCCATACCTCTGATTCTATTATATTCAACAGTTAATATTGTTCATCAGATTTTTTTAATTTCCTTGGGGTTTAGATTCACTTGTTGATAGTTACGTATTTGTTGTTCATAATTTTTATCTTTGTTTACTTTCTCTTCTGAAAGAACCCCCTTCAGCAATTCATATAATTCTGGTTTGGCGGTGATGAACTCCTTTAGCTTTTTTTTATTAGTGAAGGTCTTTATCTGGCCTTCGATTCTGAGTGATAGCTTTGCTGGGTAGATTATTTTTGGCTGTAGGTTCTTGCTATTCATCACCTTGAATATTTCTTGCCATTCCCTTCTGGCCTGCATGGTTTCTGTTGAGAAGTCAGCTGACAATCGTATAGGTACTCCTTTATAGGTTACTACCTTCTTTGCTCTTGCTTCTTTTAATATTCTCTCTTTGTCTTTTGCTCTTGGAATTTTAATAATGATGTGTCTCGGTGTGGTCCTCTTTGGATTCCTTTTGTTTGGAGTTCTGTGTGCTTCCTGGACTTGTAAATCTAATTCTTTCACCAGGTGGGGGAAGTTTTCTGTCACTATTTCTTTCAGTATGTTTTCGATATCTTGCTCTCTCTCATCTTCTGGGACCCCCATAATTCTGATGTTGGTTCGCTTGAAGTTGTCCCAGAGGTTTCTTACATTATCTTCAATTTTCTGGATTCTCTTGACTTCTAGCTTCTGTGGAGGAGTGTCTTCTGGCTCTTTATGTTCCAAATCTTTGACTTGATTCTTGCGATCTTCCCTTCTGTTTTTAGGACTCTGTAAAATATTTTTTATTTCAGACAATGTATTCTTTATTTCTTGTTGATCCCTTATCATTTCTTGTTGACTCCTTATTAATTCTAGTTGATCTCTTTTCATATCCTCATAGGCCTTATCCATCTTTTCTAGGAAATTCTTGAAAAACCTTATAAGCGTAGATTTGAACTCTATATCCAGATGCTTTTTGTCCTCCATTTCTTTCGTTTGTGATCTATTTTGTTGTCGCATTTGTGATCTATTTTGTTGTCGCATTTCGCAGTTACAGATGGGATGGGGTTTCAGGGTGGAGCCTGCAGCTTTGGCTTCCGTCAGCCCTATGCGGGTCCTTCAGTGTTCGCTGCTGGCGCCTCTGAGAGAAAGGTGCCCTCGATTTTCGCCTGCTGCCAAACAGTCTATGCTCTCCCACAATGAGCCTGATATTGGGGTTCAGTTCCGTTTGAAGTGGAGTTGGAGGTGGTGTTCAGAGCAGTCTAGAGCCCCAGTCTCCTTCCCGTCAGGGCAATCCCGCGGCACAGCCGACGGTCCCTTCTCTGTGTGCAGTGTGCGCACCTCCGGGACCTCCTTTCGCCTCTCCCTGGGGTTCTGCCTTACAGCCCGGCTCCCTATGGCTGAGCCTGAGTCCCCGGGGTCTGGCTTAGAACTGGGGTTCAGAGCAGTCGGGGGTCCAGCACAGTCGGAGTTTTATCTCCTTCCCGCTAGGGAACGCCAGCCAGGCACTCGGCCTCCCTCCTCTCCAGCTCCTTCCTCTCCGCGCGCGCCCCGCGTGTCTCCGTACCTTGGGCTTTTACAGTTCCTCCGTGCCTCCTTTTGGTTTTCTCCTTGCTTCTCGCTGTAGAATTTCCAGTCAGTCAACCTTCCTGTAGTTATGGGCAATGTCCGTTTTATATTTTAGTTGTATTTTATTGAAATTGTTGTGTGCGGCTGCGGCTAGGTGTTCACCTGGGCGCAGCCATCTTCGCAAGTCATTTTTGTATGTTCAGTTATTCATTTTTTAAAATAACATTTATTTAAAATATTTAGTAATTACACCATTCATTAGTTTAAAATTTTTTAATTTAAATTAAATAAATTGTAGCCGAGACCGGTTTGGCTCAATGGATAGAGCGTCGGCTTGGGGACTGAAGGGACCCGGGTTTGATTCTGGTCAAGGGCATGTACCTTGGTTGCGGGCATATCCCCAGTAGGGGGTGTGCAGGAGGCAGCTGATCAATGACTCTCTCTCATCGATTTTTCTAGCTCTCTATCTCTCTCCCTTCCTCTCTGTACAAAATCAATAAAATATATTTTAAAAAATCTTTATAAATTAAATAAATTGTAAATTAAATAATTTCAATTATATCTAATTTATGTATATCTGACTTCTAAGACACTTTGGTCATGAACAAATATTTTTACTATTTGGCATTATTATTCATATTCTATATAATGATATGTAAGAAAATATGTCAGCTATTTTACATATATATATATATGGGTAAAGATATCTGGCTAAGTTTATACACATGTTTGGCAATTTGTTTAAGAACACAGATCTTTGTAGTCATTATTCATTTTAAAATTGTTTTTACCACAAATAGCTCCTCTATAACCTCAAAATGATTTAGCCCAATTTTAGTATTTTGTGGATTCAGTTAGATCTCATTTCCCCTTTTCTCCACCACACACACAAACACATACACACTTGACACAGCATGGCAATGGAAAGAACACGGACTAAGGTATAAGGAGAACCAGCATTCTAGGCTTGCTTCTGCTCACGTGGACCTTGGTGGGGCCCTGCCTTCTCATTTGTTTCTTCTGATTCCTTAATTATATTCTGAATCTTAGAACAGATCATACCCTTTAGCCCAAATATTAGTATTACAAAATGTCTCCACTGAAAGTTAAATCACATTTTCTATTTCAGCTGTTTAACTTTATTCACCTTTTGTAAGATATTCACTTGAGTTTATGCCATTTTGGACTGATTGAAAATGATAAGATTTAATTTTTTAACAGTAAAAGATTACTTCACATTTTGGTGGACAGGTATTTGGTCAATTATGTGAATTCACATTAAATCAATTTAAGGTTATCAAGGAAATGTTGACAATACAAATATTCAAAAATCATATAGTGATGTTATAATTTATATTTTTCTCTCCATAAGCACTATTAAAAATACTTACATGAACCTAGAAAATGTACATGTATTAAAAAATATAATATCTACTTTGAAGATGCACAAAAACTAGATGCAAATATGACTTTTGCTTCAATTGAGTCTCCTGGGATTTCCCTTTCTAGCATTTGCTCTTTGGAGGAGCGGTGCTTCAGGATAAGAGGGCAGAGGGGACACATCAAAACAAGAATTCCCCCAGGTCCATGAGAACATGCACCTTCTGCTTTCTCTCTGCAGGAAGAGAATATGAGAAAACCAAATTCTTATCCATTGTAAATAGAACAGCATGCCCATGAGCAGCTGACACCAATCCCACATTTGTATTCTGCTTTCTCTATAATATTTACAAAGTTTTTTCACGTGATTCAGTTGATTCTCAAAGTAATTCCATAAATGGGTCATTTACAGGTGAGAAAACGGATGCTTAGAGAGGTTAAGTGACAAAGTACAGCAAAGGCAAGCTTAGAAGCCAGGCTTTTTGATTTCCCCTTAAATATTCTTCCCACCATACCACTTTGTTTTTCAAACAAAATGAAGCTACTACAGTTTAACAGTAAAAACCTCATGGTTCCAAAAAGTCAACTTCATGGTGCTACTCTGTGATAGGAATGGTTTACTGAACAGACTAGAAATGTATGCAATAAAATATTTGAGATTGTCATCAATATGTCCCTTTCAGGACGGGAATTTAACCAGTAAGTTCAAAATTAGGAAACTCAAAAGTCATTTTGCAGCCTTACTTCATTATTTTATCTCTACTTTTACTGATGAGATGTAAAATATAATTTGAATGCTAAATGTATCTAACATCTAACCAACTAACCAGAAAAATCTTTCCTACACTTGTACTGGAAATGGAGAAATTTAGAAGTTTACTTGGACAAAAAAGCTATTACTAAAAACCTTCTATATTTACCTATGTTGATACCTATTTTTCCATGTATAATATGCTATATTTTTCTAAAATTGTTAGACTGAAAATCGAGGGGCGTCTTACACATGGAAGTCAGCCAAGGAGGGAGCCTGTGGGTGCATAGCTGCCCATACCGTGTCAAACAGGCTTCTTCCAACAGAGGCTTGTTGATACTGACGTCAGCTGATGCCGTAATTGGAGGTGGAGGTGGAGAGTGTGCAGATGCAACAGGGACCAGATCGTTCTGAGCCCATAAAAATGTCAAAATACAAAAAGATAAATACCAGTAAGCGATTGTATTACTCTCAAAACTCAACTGAAATCAGTTATGCAAAAAAGCATGGAAATAGAGCTGCAGAGAGACAATTTGGACCCCCTTCCACTGAGTGTATGATCAGACAGTGGAGAAAACAGGAAGAACAATTTCTTAATATGCCAAAAAAGAAGAGGGCCTTAAGAGGAAAAGCAGCAAAATGTTAAAAATATTGATTTCTTAATTTGGGGTTAGAAAAGTGGAGGGCATCTTATACATGAGGGCGTCTTATACATGGGAAAATACGGTAATTTTGACACTAGTTCAAGGTAAATTGCTTTTACTTTTTTGAAAATGTCAGTATAGAAATACATTTCTTTTTATTGTCTAAAACAGTATGCTGTAACATCAAAACATTCACTGATAAGTGTTTGTTTTTATCTTTATAAATATTTTCAATGCAATATTTTGCCTAGATCCTTAGATAGCTTCATAAAACAAACTTTTCAGGAGCAATAAATCAGAGAACAAAAATGAGTATAAAACTTATTTTTTTATGTTAAGGCAAAATTAAGGGAAAATAAATATTTTAAATGTTTAAAAAACCTGGTACTGTACCTTAAACAGGGAACTGCTATTTTAGTCTAGTTGATAACTCTGAGATTGCTTAATTTGTAAGTGAACAGTGCACTTTTAAATCACTTTATTATTCAATATTAGTAAATGAACAACAGAACATAATTCCTGATAAAATTTTTTCAATCAGACTATAGATGTACAAAAACCCATTTCAAACTGTCAAGAAAAATGAGTAATATTGACATATTTGGACATTAGTTCAGCTATATGCTAACAAAGTAGGAAAGGGGGTAATTTGATAATTCCAAGAAAAAGTTGTCTGCTTTGCCTGATATTTTAGCAAAACACCGAGTCTTGAAGTGTAAAATGTAAGCATAGAACTCTGGATCAAACACCTTACAAAACAGTGCTGATGGTGGTTTCGATCCTGGAATGACGTCCACCTGTTCTTGATGGTTCTTTGGCATGTTTGAAGTCAGCAGAAGCATCCTTTCCTGGGCTTCACTGCTTCCTCAGAAGAATGCACAATATTTGGAACAAAACCACTTTTCACCCCTTCCCAGCCATCCTGAATACAAATCTCTCCCCTTTTGATAAGGTCATATATGTCTCTTGTCAGGATAGTGAAGGATTCTTCAACATTTGTAGCATCTTTTGCTGAGGTTTCTATATATTTCATACCACAGTCCGCGGACAGCTTTTCAGCTTCTTCCCTTGTAACTTGTCGTTTTGAAGCTAAGTCGCATTTGTGTCCCACTAGCAAAAATACAATCCGAAATGGCTGTACATACATTTTTGCTTCTTCCAGCCAATCTTTCACATGTTCAAAAGATTGTCGGTTAGTAATGTCAAATACTAAAAATCCACCAACTGAGTTGCGGTAATAAGATCGAGTTATTGATCTGAAAAATAAATAGAAAAAATGTTGTAGAAGGACAAGTTGCACCATAATAAAATTTGAAGATACCTTACTGTGATTTAACTAGAATTTATAAATCAAGTATAACCACTGACAGCAAACGTTATTTTTAGATAGATAAATAAGCATCTCACACTAAGGATTGTTATTTTTAAATATATGAAAGAATAACTATTATATCACTGTAGTTAAAAATAGGCACACAGAAAGATTTGGTGAAGGGCAGAGGTTGCTAGCAAACCAGAGCTTAAGAGCATCTCCCAGTCATTAAATTAAATAAGCTCCTTTCTGTTAGAGAAGAAACAAGGGCAAACTTGCTATATATATAGTCCTATGCTATCCCTATTAAAGAAACAACATTGTTTGGAGGTGAGATGAGGTCCACTAATGATTTTTCAAAAGAAATATTTTTATTGATTTTAGGGAGAGAGGAAGGGAGCGGGAGAGAGAGAGAAACATCGGCTGCCGCCCACACTGGAACCTGCAACCTGGGTACGTGCTCTGAATGGCAACCTTTTGGTGCACGGGACTACAGTCATCCAACTGACCCACACTGGCCAAGGTTATGCAAGGGATTTTTCGTGTCTCCAGATTTAGTCTCCCCTCTTTCGGCTTCAGGAAGCTGACCCTTTACAGACAGTTTTCCCAGACTCCCTTGCCGACTTGCTTGCAGTTGGGCTCAGCCAGTGGGAGGTGCCTGCTGGAGGCTGGAAGGGAGAACAGGTATTGACACCTCCCCCAACCCCAACCCAACCCAGGCTGTGACTTGGCAGTGGTTGTGTTCCTCTGCTTCTGATTAAGGCTCCTGTTGGGTAGCTCCACCCGCATGGCTATGGCTTTCACCAGGTTCTGGAGATTTCATCCCCTCAGTTGCCCCTTGTGGCCAGGTGGTCAGTGGCTTCCCACTGTTTAGCTTCACCATCCTTTGTTGGTGCCCTTGACCTCTCCCACATTTCTGAAAATAGTTACTTCGTTAAACTCTTTTCAGATAATCTTTCAAGTGTCCCATTTGTTTCTGACTGAACATGAGGCAAGGTAGCAAGGTCAATACTGTTTTCTATTTCTTGCCTTTTGATATGTTTCCTCTACCTAGAACGTCCTTCTTTCCCTTTTTTGCCAAGCAAATCTATGTCTCCTTCAAGAGTCAGATCTAAAACCATATATATGAGAAGCCTTTTCTGCCTTGACCTGTCCCACTCCACCTCTCTTAGGCACTCCTCTTATATTCCATTAGACCTTTGGCATACTGCTAGGATATCAATTTTCAAATGTTTTAATTGGAATTGCTGGTATGTCTCCCACTAAATTCAAGACTCCTTGAGGTTCAAATATTTTTCATTTATATACCTAATAATTATATTACCTGGCAAATGATAGATGTCACTTAATATTTGTTATACTGATGAATTTTATTGGAGGGAAAGCACTAACTGTTATATGAGCCAGAGATTTCATATGTCTCATTTCCAAGTTGTCAATGATTTTTCGAATTGAGATCATCCTTAACACATTAAGCACCCAGCCTGTTTTTTCTTTCGGACAGAAAGTATAGTGTTAGTCACCAGTGACTGATATGGCGCTTAACATGTTAAGCAAACTCATTTGTTACTTGATGATGCATCAAAGATCTTTGCAGAGGACCAGTGGGTTATCTAGTATTCTCCAATTTTGCAAACCTTCATTATCCCTATTGCTGAAATTACAGCTCAGTTATGTGACCCAACACCACAAGTACCATTTGCTTGGAGTTTGAAGAAAGTTATTTTACACCCATTTCTTGCCATTTCTTCTGCTTTCCTATTTCTCCTCAGAATTCCCACCAGAGAGATTCTCAAGTGATTATATTTTAAAAATGTCTTTTAAGGACTACTATATTATACAGTCATTGACAATAAAAAAAAAATCTCCCACTCTCTTTAGCAGGCTACAAATAATGCAGTTCAGTTCAGGGTGTTTTTTTTTTTTTTTTTAATATTGAGGGATAACTGGTTTGTTATTGTTTTGCCACTCATCTTTATATGAGTGAATTTATGCTGATGTACAATGCCTTAAGAGAAACCTAACTAAGATTGAAAGCTTTAATTTATTCAGCACTAAGTCTGCATTACTTTTATTCCCCGTCCTACTTAATTTACCATTTCTATAATTTTTAAAAACATGTATTTGTCCTGGCTGGGTGTATCAGTTATTTGGAGCTTTGTCCTGTGCACCAAAAGATAGCAGATTTAATTCCCAGTCAGGGCACATACCTAGGTTGCCGGTTTGATCCACCGTTGGGGTGAGTACAGGATGCAACCAATTGATGTTTCACCCTCACATTGATGTTTCTCTCTCTCTCCCTTACTCTCTCTAAATTAATAAAATAAAATAAAAATCCTCAGGTGAGGATGAAAAACAACAAGCAAACATGCTTTTGTGGTTGAAAACTCAATGTTGAAATAAATGCTTGTATATTAGGCAGGGGCATGTCTTACACTTTAGTACCTTGTATTTAGTTTTGAAAACATTTGGAATACAGCTGGCAAATAATTCTGTAAAATAAAATTATAGCAAAGTATATGAAATTATGCTATAAAACAGTCCTTATTAATGATTAGTTAGAAGAAAGGGTCTTAATATGACACCTACCATTTTCTCTCCTCCTACCTAATAAAATAGTAATATGCAAATTAACCATCACGCTGCTCCACAAGCCACACCTCCCAACTATGCCCACCAGCCAATCAGAGCGAGTATGCAAATAAACCCAACCAAGATGGCCACAGCCACAGAGAGCAGGAGGGAGGCATTTCCCCGGCAATGAAGGAAGCCAAGCTTTCTGCCTGCCCTAGCCAGCCTAAGCCTCCACTCAAGACTACAAAGTTTCAATTACAGAAGGTAAACAAATCCAAAGAGAAATGGCTGCCGCCACAGAGTGAGCAGGAGGCTTGGCTCCACTCCAGGCTACAAAGTTTCAATTGTAGAAAGTAACTATATCCCAGATACCAGGGCCTCCATTTGGGTCACTGGGGGGCATGGCCAGCCAGTAAACCACCACAGGCCCCTCGCCCAGGCTGCCCCACGCCCCAAGGGAACCCCCACCCTGATCCGGGACACCCTTCAGGGCAAACCAGCTGGCCCCCACTCATGCACCAGGCCTCTATCCTATTTAATAAAAGAGTAATATTCAGATTGACCATCACTCCAACACACAAGATGGCTGCCTCCATGTGGTCAAAGATCCTGCCCCTATGTGGACACAAGATGGCCAGCAGGGGAGGGCAGTTGGGAGGGACCAGGTCTGCAAGGGAGGGCAGTTGTGGGTGATCAGGCAAGTAGGGGAGGGCAGTTGAGAGGGACCAGGCCTGCAAGAGAGGGCAGTTGAAGGCGATCGATCTTGCAAGGGAGGGCAGTTAGGGGTGACCAGGCTGACATAAGAGGGAAGTTGGGGGCAAATGGGCTGGCTGGCAGGAGAGCAGTTAGACATTAATCAGGCTGGCATGGGAGTGGTTAGGGGGTGATCAAGCTGGCAGGCAGAAGTGGTTAGAGGCAATCAGGAAGGCAGGCAGGCGAGCATCTGGGAGCCAGAATTCCTGGTTTGTGAGAGGGATGTCTGCTTGCCTGTTTAAGTGAGCAGTCCCTCGAGGTGTCCTATATTGGAGAGGGTGCAGGCTGGGCTGAGGGACAACCCCCTCCCCTGCTCCCGTGCATACATTTAGTGCACTGGGCCTCTAGTATAATAATAATATAATTGAACAATAAGACAGCGATTTTCAACCTTTTTCACCTCATGGCACACATAAACTAATTACTCAAATTCTGTGCCACATTAAAATATATAATTCACATTGGATTATTGTTATGTTGGCTGTTGTCATTTTTTAATTTGAAAACCTAAGGGAAAAGTGTTTGGTCTCCCTGACTAAACAGCCAGGCATTGCATGTTGTCAAAATTCTTGCGGCACATTGGTTGAAAATCACTGATTTCAGGGAAGAGACAGGCCTTCAGGCTGAAAACTGAAACTTGAAAGACAGGCCTTACAGGGAGGGCAAGGAAGCATCTATCTTTCTTTGGATCTCCTCTAGAGTCAGGACATTTAGATCTCTAGAAGTTCTTGAAGGTATTATAAAGAGGTAGGGAATAGATACTAAACCAACTAGGTAGGTAGGGCTCCCTATAAAGAATTCAAGAGTTGGCCGAAACCGGTTTGGCTCAGTAGAAAGAGCGTCGGTCTGTGGACTGCAAGGTCCCGGGTTCGATTCTGGTCAAGGGCATGTACCTTGGTTGCGGGCACATTCCCAGTGGGGAGTGTGCAAGAGGCAGCTGATCGATGATTCTCTCTCATCGATGTTTCTAACTCTCTGTCCCTCTCTCTTCCTCTCTGTAAAAAATCAATAAAATATATTTTTAAAAAAAGAATTCAAGAGTTGATGATAAGTAGCAATTCTTTATAAGCAATGACATCTTATTGCATGTTACTTTATGTCTATTTCCTTGTGGGCTTTGAAAGTCTCACAGAATGAATGGGTGATTTAAAGAAAGATAAAAATGGGGAAAAGAGAAGGGAGAAATATATGAATGGATTACAATTTGGTCTCAGGTGCATTATGGAAGAATTAAGAGTTACGAGACTATACTCTGGCAATACTAATAAAAGGGATACAGCATACCCTAAACCCAGTGTGATGGTGGTATGATGGGTTAGGTGAATTATGAAGGTCATGGATCAGGGTTATAAGCTCTTAGCCACATCTTCTTCCTCCCAAGTGGAATACCTGGTATCCTAATATATAAAGAGCCAGGTGCTGCTACAACTGCACAGATGACCGGTCACCATGAAGTGCATGGAGCACCTCTCAGTCACAGGGCAGCAGAGGTCAGCGACAGAGGCCAGGGTAGGCGTAGGGACCCTAACCGAACACGATTTTGTGCATGCTGGGCCTCTAGACTCTAGAGTGTGTGTGTGTGTGTGTGTGTAAATATTTTATTATTATTTTTTAAAC